CACACACACACACACACACACACACACACACACACACACACACACACACACACACACACACACACACACACACACGTGTAGTACGCATATTTCCATGTCCTGGCGAAAGATTGGTTCAATTTTGCTCATCTATCGATCCAAGTACTGTGAGGCCAGCCTTGGGGTTGGAGACTTACCTGTTCGGCGATGCGTATCTCATCCAATCTCTCTCTCTCTCTCTCTCTCTCTGTCGCCGCCGATTTACCTTGCCTCAGTCCTGCTCGCCTCCGCACCGAAACGGCACGCACTCTGCGACCGCGCCGCCCTCCACATAGAATAGTGTTGCGCCAGTCCTGCTCGCCGTCAGTCCCGCTCCGCCCGTCGACCTCCGAACATATTTTCGTTGGGCCCAGCACGAGGCGTCACGCTGGGCCCTTTGTACTCTTTAAGAGTATAGGGAAGGGGAATTCTGGCAGCATCTCCCCTATACAGGGTGGATTGCCAAGAATTCCCCTCTACCATAATATAATCTAACTCTTCAAAACTAGGAAAATTTCGGCAACGCTTCCCGTAGGAAAAGTGCCTTTTCATAATTTCTACGAGGCTAAATATAACATTTAGAAATAACTCTGACCTCACAAAGTCAAATTTTGTCCAACTCCCTGATTTAGTAAAAATTTGGGCAGCACCTCCCCTAGAAAAGTAGGCTTCCCAAATTTTAACTAAGACTCAGACAAAAGTTGAACTTTGAAAGTCAAAATTTGACTAACTCCTTGGTTTTGTAGAAATTTCGGCAGTGCTTCCCGTAGGAAAAGTAACTTTCCAGAATTTATACAGAGCCAAGTAAAATAAATGATCCCAGAAAATGCGAGAACTTGAACTAAGTAAAATAAACTTAACTCAGAAAATGCAGAAATTGAACTAACTCCTATAGCTCCAACACGTGGCGAGTACTAACAGACTACCTTACTATGCAGAAAACAGACAGAGCCTGAACAAAAGACAAGCCTTTGTCAACAAGTATGTCATGTCCACAACGCATTCAGCTAGCTCAGAAACAAGGGATCGTTCATCCAAAACTTTCATTTTCTGCTTGTCCTGGTTAAAAAAAACAAGAGTCCTGTATCTTCTTACTTAGTGAATTTTTACTTTCCAAGTTGTTCTCAGTCAAACCCTATCCAATCCTTAACACATCAGGCTCGACTATTCTCACAAGGAGAAAAGTCAGACCTTTATCAACAAGTAAAATCTGACTGACTTAGCAAAGCAACCGGATCAGTCAGGAGGACCTCATCCCCAGCCCCACTTCAATGTCTTAGGCAAACATGCAAAGCGACCGGATCAGTCTGAAGGACCTCATCTCCAACCCTATTTCAATGTCTTAAACCACCAGTACCTCCGAGCTTGTTTTTGCCGACTCTGATTTTCACTGCGCTCCGAGTTTTGCTGAGCCTGGGTCCCACTCCATTTCTTTATGGTACTCTCACGGGAAAAAAAAAAAAAAAAAAAAAAAGTTGCGGCCGTGAAAACTTACATAACAAGAAAACGAAACAAAGCTCTACGCGTGATTGCAGCTGTATACATTCTCGGAAGTGTTAGTGTGAGTGTGCCCTCAGTGAGGGCATCTCTGCCCCGTGGCCAGGTTGTCAGATTCCAGAAACTCAAAAAAAAAAAAAAAAGACAGGAACACGGATTCGACCGTGAAAATGGCTAGATACAATCCCGTAAGTGCCACAGTGTGATCAGGGTTACAATCCTCTGAGGGAACACAGCTCGAGAAGATCACGAATTCAGATTGTCAGATTCCAGAAAAAGAAGACAAGAAAAAGAAAAACGGAAACACGGATTCGACCTTGAAAATGGATGGATACATCAGGGTTACAATCATTTGAGGAAACACAGCTAGAGCAGATCATGGATTCCGCCCTGCCTCGTTGGCAGGGGAGACATAACAAACAAAACAGAAATAAAAAAAAGAAAACAACAAGTTTCAGAATGTGATCGTCTTTGTTGTAAGATGCATTCAAGACTGTGAGCACGACCTCCTAGACTACCCTACCCGGCATCATTGCAGTACAGAGGCCTTTTTTTTTTTTCCTTTTCCTTTCGTGCACGGGCAAAAAAAAACTACGATTTTTGGGACATTGCCGACCCTGTGTCCGACCCCCGAAAACTTCGGGTACTGGCCAGGACAACGCAATTTCCCAACACTGGCGGAGGTACTGGTGGTTTAAGCAAATAGCAAAGCGACCGGATGAGTCTGAAGGACCTCATCTCCAGCCCCATTTCAATGTCTTAGGCAAACGGCAAAGCGGTAGGTTTCCAAGCAATCAGGCAAAGCGGCAGGTCCTGACCCCGCCCCGTCTCAATGTCCAAGCACTCAGCAAAGCGGCAGGTCCTGACCCCGCCCCGTCTCAATGTCCAAGCAATTAGCAAAGCGGTAGGTTCTGACCCCGCCCCGTCTCAATGTCCAATCAATCAGCAAAGCGGAAGGTCCTGACCCCGCCCCGTCTCAATGTCCAAGCAATCAGCAAAGCAGCAGGTTCTGACCCCGCCTCGTCTCAATGTCCAAGCAATCAGCAAAGCGACAGGTCCTGACCCAGCCCCGTCTCAATGTCCAAGCAATCAACAAAGCGCCAGATCCTGACCTCTCCCCGTCTCAATGTCCAAGCAATCAGCAAAGCGACAGGTCTTGACCCCGCCCCGTCTCAATGTTCAAGCAATCAGCAAAGCGGTAAGTCTTGACCCCGCCCCGTCTTAATGTTCAAGCAATCAGCAAAGCGGCAAGATCGGTCAGAAGACCTCATCTCCAGCCCCATTCAGATCATCCCATGCAAACATCGTGATTTTTACCACAGACAGGTAAATTAACATGCATAGTAAACTCCCTTTTTGATTTAGTTAAAGTCCAGCAAAAGCAAACAAAATATATACACAAGTCAAAGTCAGAACACGTCAAACGCCAGGTTTATATAGATAGGGGTTTATTGGGATTCTAATGGTTTAGTGTCGGCCTACTTCTGAGTTTCTTGCCTTCAGAGTCCCACCTGGACCCCGGTAGAGCTCCCGCAATTGGTGGGGCAAACCTCCCACAGAAGCCTTGGCACGGATTACGAGTTTCAATCCCACCTGTCCTCTTCCTCTCTTAACCAAAAGACTAGACTGAGAGTAAGAAAGGCAGAAGGAAAGAGATTGAGTCGCTCAGATACAAGAGAGGTGCGCTCAGACTCGCGTGAGAGGGCCTTGATACCTTGACACGCCTGAGGGGCCCGCAATGATGGCCAAACACACAGTAATACCGCCAAACTGAAGTAAAACGTCGAATGTTGACCTCCTGACGACCCTCCAAATCGCAACAGTAACTGCTCTTCCAAGCCTGGTCATTCCCTCAAGTCACAATGTCTCACTCTCTTGATTAGACCGCCGCTGCGCAGGCTAAAACGACAACGTTCACATAGTGCAGACCCCCACGTGCTCTATTTGAAATGTGAACAGGACACGACAATATCCAAGGCAGGAGTTTGCCTGTTCATTCAGAAATGTACAGTCACTGCAGCCGTAAGTCACGGCGGGACAGCGACACACAACGGTGCTCAGCAGCTGCGCACAACACCCAGGTTCAGTTGAGTTGAAAAAGTGCAGCAATGACTCTGTGAATCAATATCATATTTTACCCACTGCCGCGACGCCGCCAACGTTAATACTCACACAATGGCAACAGTACCTCCTCAAAATACAGCAATAGCCTTCTGAGGCAATAGCCACCTTGTTGCTTTAAAATGACAGGTAAGACTTTTCTGGCGGCAACGCAAGGGAGATGAGCGATAGCGGGATGACAAAAATCCAGAGTGCAAGTTCACAGTGATAGCCAGAAAGTCCAACGCTGTTCAGAAAGCAAAAACTCGTTGATATCCTACTGAGTGAGGAACCAAAGTACCGAATCCCGACTATAAATGAGAGCATGCTTCCCTCACTACCAGCATATGTGCCTAGAGCTCTCCCTTCTGCTTGGCTCTCAGTGCCCAGACTCCTCCTAGGCGGCTACTAGTTGTCTACAGATTGGGAATGCATCCTGCTGACATCTGCAGCAATAGTCGGAGTGCTTGAAGATGCCGACCTTGTAGACAATCGCCAAGACCAGGTACGTGCCCCGTTCTCTTCTCCCTCTTTTGCAGTGAACCTGGTCAGAATTCTAGTAAGGGATGGAGAGCTTGAGGCAGGGGCGGATGCAACGGAAGGATGATGCAGCACCAGCATGAAACTGAACTTGGTGAGGACAATGGGTAGGAAGCCTGGAGGCTTGATTACAAGAGTGGATAGCCACGACGGAGATGACCAGGAGGTGACAATCTCGAGGGCAATACCACTTCAACAACAACACGAGGTCATTACCACGTCAGCAACAACACCCGACAGACAACAAGAGCGGACGCGCAGACATCAGTTACAACGTGTAGGAGGAGCATTACTTTCATGTTTGTGAACAACACGAGCATCATAACTTTCATAGATGATGACTACTGTGAAGGCCGGCTCCGAGCGACGCTCGCTCCACTCCTGATGAATAGCAATTGCTACGAGAGCAGTCGCATGAGGGAGGGCGAAGCTGCAACTTCGTCCCACCCGCATGCACTTCAAAGAAAAATCTTCCGCTCCAAGGCGGAAATATACATTGCATTATTGCCTGGTCCCGAAACTCCCTCTCCTTTCTCTAGCCCGTGCTCGCTTCTTACTTCAATCGGGAGGTAAGCATGGTCGCATGGGGACTCCGAGGCGTAACAATGAAGACCACCGCCACGAAAACGGGGCGTGGGCTATAGCACATGCCGCATGTCCAAAACCGGGATATGCCCATGACCGTTGATCACCATGATGCCAAGGTTCGCTCTGACGGGCAGCAGCTGTAAGTCCTGCTGTTGCTCTTCTCAAATGTGCAGAGAGAGAAAAATAAAAAAAATAAAAAAAATAAAAAAAATGGGAATGAATCTTCCCTTATAATACGGGAAGATACATCTCTGCTTCAAGACTTTCTCTCTCACACGCAGCTCCTGCAGACTGTAGCGCTGAACCCAGTGCCCCATCGTCAGATCCAACAACGCCATTGAATTCGCAACACCCCAAAACCTTAGATTAGCCTCCTGCCTTGCCTTATTTCATTGAGAATCCAACGAGATCTCTGTTTTCCCATGCGGCCATATCCTCCCTCTTGATACCTCCGCGCAGCTCTAATCTCACATCGCGACCAACTCCCTTACCGACTGCAAAATCTAACTCCACCATCACATTCTCCCGACCCAAATACCCTAGTTGAGCATCTTTTCCGGCCCGATTATGTGGGGAAATGAGGGAGATATACGTTTTCAACTCTCGCTCTCCCTTCTTCCCTCGACATCTCCGCGCATGGCCTTTCTCTGCTGTCACTAATTCTACTAATCTAGCACTGAAACTAACCTCACCAGTGTACTCGCCCTATGCAAAACCCCCTACCTACCATCTTTCCTCGCTTGTTTTCACCAAGAAACGAGTGGGATGTGCCTCTTTCAGCTCCCGCCATAGCCACTCCCCCGTCGCTGCGTCCTTCCCTGCTGCATATGCACCCGGTACAACCCCTTGTCCGGATCCTTTCCTTTCCCCTTTTCCTGGAACCGCTGCCTTGGCTCATCGTCTCTCCGCTGCCTTTGCCTCCCGTCTGTGCCAGACTGTGCGTTAACCCAGGCACCCCGAAGAGGTGCCGACCCATACAACCAGCGGGACGGTGGTCGTGAATGTCGAAATCCGCTAATGAGTGTGTTTCAAATCACCTGTTGAATCGATCAGTCCCGAAATGGATGCCGCCCGAGCGCACGGCCTACACTCAGCCGAAGCGGCTGTTCCGACACAGCGTTGAGTAGAAGGGTGCAGGTCCTGCTGCAGAGCCTGCAGCACGCGCCCGGGTGGGGCAGGTCTTGGTGCAGATACTTGATGGTAGTAGCAAATATTCAAATGAGAACTTCGAAGGCCGAAGTGGGGGTTGTTCTATCTGTTCTGCTGCTGGGACAGCTTGCCGCATAGCCAAGACTGCGGCAGCCTCCCACCGGTGCCCCCTTGCTCAGTCCCCACCTCTCGGAATAAGTAAAATAATAAAAATAAAAATAAAGATAAAAAATAAGAATAAAAATAAAAAATAAAAATAAACATAAAAAAATAGCGGCATTTCAACATGTATTGCAAGCTCCCACTTACCCACCTTCAGTGGAGTTCGAGCTCAGGTCTGCGTTTCAACAGTTAAGGGGTGTACCACTGAGCTAGGCCCGCAGGTGCCATTCCTACAGGCCTGTTTTCTGCAGTTCGTGGTGTACCAACTGAGCTAGGCCCGCAGGTGCCGTTCCCGCAGGTCTGTTTCACACAGTCCGCGGGTGTACCACCTGAGCTAGGTCCTCAGGTGCTGGTCCACATGCCTGTTTTTCAACAGTTCGTGGGTGTGCCACCTGAGCTAGACCTGCCGGCAGCAGTTCCCACATGCCTATTTTCAGCAGTTCGTGGGTGTACCAACTGAGGTGGGTCTGCAGCTGCTGGTCCCACAGTCCTGCTCACACCCAACCTTCTTGCTTTTCACAGCAGGCTGAGGTTAACGGGCGGTGTATCCCCTGGCTGTGGCATACTTGTTAGCCACATGGGCCTGCAGGGCCCGTTCCGCATTCTCAGCCTAAAAGCCTAGAAATAAGGGCTTACAGGCCCCGTGTCGTTTCAGCCTGAAAACTGAAAATGAGGGCCTGCAGGCCCTAT